TGACTAATTCACCAAGTTTCTATGAAAATAAAAATTACATATATATTTCGTAGAAATGAAAATTGATCTATTTCTTTTTTTAAGCAGATTTCAAAAACATTTAAATAGAAGTCATCGGTCCATCTCAACGTTTATAAAAATAGATAAAAGACGTACACATTTTCACTACATTTCATTTTAATAATCGAAATGATTTCTACTCGAATTAAAGAAAACAATATAAATATTACAATAATCATTTAGATTGATATATTTTTCTTTTATGTCTACCGGATACGTAGGATATTATATGGGACGAAGTATATTTCCGTAAACGGAAGTCATTTACCTATTGATTACATTTAATGTATACTAATGGATCTATCAGGTGTATTGACAAACAGGAAGAATAGCTTTAACATCAACCTCGATAATGATGTTCATCAAAAATTGTATCATATCTTTGGAATATAACTTCATTATACATATCGTATGCTTCTAACTTTCTTTTTCATTTAGAATGCAATTAGATTACGAAAAAATAATGAATACTCTTTATTTTACCTGTGCTGCTATTAAAAACATATCTTCTTCAACATGTCGAGCTGCACAAGCAACAGTAGCCAAAGCAACAGCTGGAAATATATATGCATTATTTCCTTGTCCTATTCAAATCATATGAATATACATTTAATGTATTAATATAAAACGAAATATCTACCTGGATGAAATGTCTTATCTTTATACACAACAGGTTTAAATGGACTACCAGATGCAAATATACATCTTCCCTAAATAAATCAAAATATATTTTTTTAGAATATTAATTAAGAATGATTACATCAGTTTCACGATAAGCTTCTTCAGCAGTACATTCAGCACGACTTGTAGGATTTGATCTATTTAAAGAACAGACGTCTAAGAAAAGAAATTGAATTAATTATTAAAATATACAAAGCAAAGATGACAGGACGTTCATTAATTATAGCCATCTTTTTCAAAACACCTTCATGAAATAAACGTGCGACTCCACTTGCACCTAAAGAAAAAAAATATTCTTTATCTTTTGTTTTTCTTTTATTCAATAAAATTTATATACCAAGAAGGACAGTTGGTTTAACATAATCTACTACTGCGGTAAGATCTTTTATTGGTTTACCCTTCTTGACATAAGGAGCTTTAGGTCCTTCTAAATCTCCTTGTGGACGACCCTAAATTATTAAAAATATATTTAAAATTATTGACTAAAATAATCTCCAACACCTTAAGTGAAGAAAAGCAAACTAAAAATCTAGCAAGTCCTTACTTTAACTGCACCCTAGAATATTAGTGGGACTTAGTTATTAAAAACATGCATATGGTAAATTAAATATATATAATAAAAACAAACTTACATCAACTATAAGACCGTGAACATCATACATCCACACTTTACTTCTTGCTTCTTCCGGTGAAGCACCTTCACGTATCATTGCATGTGTTACTAAATCTGCAATACCACATGCAGCCTAAATTGAATAGAATTATTTTTATCAAAGAAAAGTTAATTATCTCAAGACATACTTGACCAGCGCCGACAAAAAGAAATGTATTGTCAATTAATTTTTTACCCGTAATACGAAGTGCTCCAAATAGACCAGCGAGTACAACTGCAGCTGTTCCTGAAAATAAATAGATCAAATATTTAACATACAATTATAAAATTTCTATAGAAAATTAGTAAACCTTGAATGTCATCATTGAATGTACAATATTCTTTTTGATAACGTTCAAGTAATCGATATGCATTTTGACTAGCAAAATCTTCGAATTGTATAAGACAATTCCATCCAAAACTAGAAACATATATTTATTTGATAAATAAATTAATTATTTCGAAAAATTTACCGTTGTACAACAGCTTCCATAAATTCATCAATAAATTCATCATATTCTTTACCAGTAACTCTCTTTTGTCTTAATCCAATATAAAGTGGATTGGACGATATTTCCTTGAAGGAAAAAAAAACAATTAATAATTCAAGAAGAAGAATTTCTCCTATATTATATACTTCATTATTTGTTCCAACATCAAGCATAATTGGTAAACAATCTTGTGGTGGAATACCAGCAATAGCTAGAAATAAATATATAGAGGATTTATAAATACAAAAACTAAATTCTTTACCAGTATATAATTGTAATTTTCCAACTGGTATACCCATACCAAAAGCGCCTAAATCACCTAAACCTAAAATACGTTCACCATCAGTTACTACAATGGCTTTCACATGTTGTTCAGTCCAATTGGTTAATATATCATAGATATGACCTTTGTCATGTATTGTAATAAATAAACCTCTTGGTCGTTTAAATACTAAACCATATTTTTGACATGCAAGACCAACTAAAAAAAGAAATGAATACAAATTGATTATTCATATCCAGAATTTCTACCTGTCGGTGTATAAACAATTGGTATAAGTTCTTCGAGATTATCTTTTATGAATAAAAAATATTTAGATTAATAATTAACAAGTCATTTATTTATTTATTTACCGGCAATTACTCTATAAAATAATTTTTCATTTCTATCCGACAGATTCATTAATTCAGAGTATCTATCCAGATCATCTAATAGAAATCATCAATTAATATAAAATAAGTAATTATTCGATTTAAATTTATTTACTATTCATTCGATGAAAATTAATCATAACACGAAGTGCTTGAATATCTTGTGAAACAACAGCAGGCGGCAAGAGACCATGTATACCCATATGTTGTCTTTCCTCAAGCGTAAATGCCATACCCTGATTTTGAAAAAAAAGGTTTTTTTTATGATTATATTTCTTTTTAATTACTTTATTCAAGGCTGGATTTCGAAGTAATTCAACACCTTTAATTGATGAACGAGATTTTGTTGATGGACGATATTCATCAGTGACAGTCACTGTATATCGTTGTGGTTGTTGAAAATAACGGATATGTTGATAATATGATAAAATAGGCCGAATATTTCTTAAGGGAATAGAAGACATTTTTTATCTAGAAATTATAGGTAAATTAATTATGAATTGATTCGTTTTTCTGGAAATTCTATAGTACATTGATTGATATACAAGTCATTCTATTTTTTTTGTTTGTTTGTTTTATATTCAATTGTATTGTTAATTTTTATCAAGAAATATATTAAATACAATTACATGTAAGATTGAGTTAAGAACAAACTATCATATCAACAAAAATGTATCTTCGTTAGTTTTATTCATTCATGTGTAAAGTTTCTATAATGAATATTAAATAGTTCAATTAAGAACATATATTTTTATTATTTATAAATATAAGATCTTTAAAAACCTATTAGAAAATATCTTATATTTGAACTAGCCTAAAGGCATATAAATAGTTCTGGTGATCTAAATTGATCATCAGGAAAAACCTCCATTCTTTCCAAGCATTATAATGGAAATCAAATATCCGTTATATATCAAAGTATTTGCTCATTAGCAGAAAAGTCATGCACGTTCATTAGAAGGTATAATAAATATCGTGATTCCTATTTAAACATAACTATACTATAGTCTATGGAAAATTAGTTTACTTAGTGATCCATTAATCACACAACATTTTAACAATAGTAGATTCATCTATATTTGTTCATTCGTATATACAAATAACGTGATAGAAATAATAAAATCTAAGTGAAAACGTTCACCCGCTGATATTTTATTTTTAATTCTTATTAAAACACGAGATTGTATGCCTATTAATGAGTTTAAATACATTCTTAAGAATAAAAGTCAATATGACAAAAAAATACAGAATTTATGATTCGCACAGAGGTGCAGAATCTTCCCAAATTTTTTTCGAAGAATTTCTCTGAAAAATGCAGTTTTTAAAAAATTTTCCCTCTTCTCGCGCGGGGGCGCACGAAGAAGATTCTGCATCTCTGGATTAGCATCTAAAAAAACAGATTCTTTTCTTCCATGGAATAGATAGATATATATACATTTAAACCATCTAGTTAAATTGAGCCTATATATCTCTTTCGGGTAAATATAATCGTTTTAAACGTCACGCGTAGTCATTAATTAGAAGAGAGAAAAAGAAATTTTAATAGTCCTTAACAAGAAACAACTTATACATGCATAATAATTTATTATTTTCCTGTTTTTTTTCTTCTTCTTCTTACATCAATGTTAAAAATTAACTGCTTGCTTGCTTTTTTCTTTACACTTTCTCTTAGATAAGAAACAGTTTTTCATATTCTAATTCTTTCTCTTTCAGTTCCTGACGTCACTAGAAAAATTATTATTCTTCTTTGTAATAAATCCTATTCGTTAAATTGCATCTATTTTATTCAGAAAATTCATACTATACACAACAATCAGAATGTTATTCACGAACAATATGACTAGTCGAGTATCATGGATTATGTTTATTGTGATTGCTATTCAAATGGCTGGAATACTCTCAGTCTTCACTGATGTGCCTCGTAAGTTCGATTCAAATTTTGAGATTAGGGAGATATTTCTTATTTTCTCTAGCTCCACCAACACGACCAGAACGGTTTCACTCTCGAGAAGAGCTTAAGCGGTATTTACAACTCGTATGTTTCTAAATATCGTTATTTACTATTATTCAATTAACTAAATATTTTTTTTAAGGTCCATGAATATTATGCTATCATTGGTCGACCACGTTTTGGTCGATCTCAACCAGAAAGACGATTAAATCCTCAAGATAGACAACTATTTAATTTCTTCGATGTAAATGGTGACAAATCAATAACATTCGATGAATTTCATGAACGACTCGACAATGAATAGTTGTGTACGTTTATATAACACTATAGAAGATATTTTTTTTCTTTATAGTACATATTAAGATTTATTTTATATTTTATTCTTTTCTTTTTTTTTTCTTCTCTATAGATAAGCTTTCTCTTATTCCAGTGATCATCAAAACGATTCCAAAATGACAATTTTTTTCTGCAAACATCGTATATTTATCTCCCTGTTTCATTATTTTATTGTTTATCATCGCTTTCTCTACTGCTTAAGTGACTGTCTATCATGTTGTGCCCAAATACAATAAAATTGGCCATTCCATATATACAAAAAAAAACAATTATTATTATATATATATGCACTATATACTGTGTGCACAAGGACATGTGCTTGAAAATTTGAAATAGAAAAAAAGAAAATGTTTTTGTTTCTAAGATGATCATATTAAGTTAAAGAAAAGTAAAAAGGAAATTATCACCAACTATCTCGTAAGAACTCTCAAACATACATGCAGCAATTATTTGAACAACATACGCTTTTGTGCAAACAATTTCCTTGTCATAAATACAATTTGTTAATGACGAACGTGCGCGCATATAATCATGCATTAAGAATATCTAAAATATAGTTGCTGTAAAAGTAATCAAAATACAAGAGACCTTATTGTCCTATGTTTTACTTCCATCTTGAGTATAAAAAAATACACACACACGCACACATACATAGACATCGACGACCATCGAAAAAAAGAAAAAGTTTTAGCCAATATATGAATTTTTTAGAAAAAAAAAAGAAAAAAAAGAAAGAAGACAAGGTTAAATTAACAAAGAATCAATGACGAATCTTTGTTGAGTTATGTCTAGAAGGAAATAATCACTGGTTTATTTTTTTTCTTTATTTAAAAATAGAAAATTAAACATTAACAGAAGATGACTGAGTTTGTGCTGTTTTAGCAAATTCAACAAAATCATCAATTAATCTAAAATAGAAAAAAATACCAAAATAAAATAAATATATGTGTACTTTTAATCAAACACATACGTTGGCCAAGCACCATCATGATCATAATTTGAAAAATCTGGTTTTATTGATGTTGAAAAATCATGTAATAAATCCCATGTATCTTTTGTAATTGATCGTTGATTTGAACGTTCTTCAAGAAATTTAAGCCATAAATCAAGTAATTTAAATCTTTGTGATTGTTTATTATTTGGATTTCCAGTAAATAACATTTTCCAATAAGCTATAGCTAAATGGAAAAGAAAAATAAATCATTAATAATTAAACATTTCATATTATTTCGATCAATAATAAATTTTCTTGTCGATATAATTCTATTAGATGAAGGTGGAATCAGATTTCTTTTATTAGCGAAAGTAAATAATCTCATTTGTTACACTTTTTTAACTTTGAACACGATCATTTACAATGTATATATTTGTAAAATTGATTCATACAGAGTACTTTAATTGAAAATAATGAGTCAAAAGATTTTTCGATCTTATTACGCATAAGTGGTCAAGATATACTGAGTAAAATAGTCTTCGCAAAAGATTGAAGATGATCTATACTATCAAATTTCATAAGTATGTAGTTCTTGAAACTTAAAGTAATTAGTAAATTTTGTTTAATGACGTCAGGTATTTATATGTAACGTCATTAGTCAAATGTATCAATGAGTACGAAAAATAATATAATCCATTGTATTTTTACACATAAAAATGTAATATCTAAATCTTGTCAGAATTGTATGAAGTAAAAGTCAATCATGTATCTTTTTTTTGTAAAATCTAGTAAGTAGGATTGAAATACTACTATTAAGTACAATTTATTTTCACTTATTATATGATTTAAGTAATAATTCATGACGTTATTTAAATTCTTTGTTGAAAAATAATACTCATATACAGCTAGTTGATATGTTAAGCACGCTTAACAAGACTATTATTTCTTTTTGAAATACTATATTCTTGTAAAGAAATACTTTGTATACGCAATTTTTCCGTTTAAAGAAAGAATGAAGGTAGCATAAAATGTTCTTTTGACCGGATATGACGTTATATGAAAATTGAAAGACTGAGATACGAAGCATCATCACTTTTTTCATTTTATGGAAATTTTTCTAATCAGACAAAAAAAAAAGAAAATCAAGAAGATTTTACGCTAAAATGAATATTGATCTGTTTCTAATAAATATATGTTAATTCAGTTTGAACATTACAATATTTCGAATGACTTTTTATAATTATAATGAAATATTGTCCGATAAATAATTTTATTTATTAAATATCCAGTCACTGATTCATTATGAATAAAGATATGCAAGATGAAATAATTATTCCATCTCGTTAGAATCTTTTGTATTAAATCTAATCTTTTATTTAATTTAATGGTTAAATATCATTTATTTTAATTGGTTTAACTTCGGTGCATTTCTTATTCTAAATCTGTCTGATAAGCTAGTGTTGACATGATAATTAAATATTAAAATCTATGTAAAATTTCTATACCTGGTTGTACATCAAGATTTTTCATTGATGTCGATGAACGTGCAAAATTAAATGTATATATATATAATTGTTTAAATTTTTCATTATCATTTTCAATTTCTTTATTGAGTTGTTTAATTCTATCTTGTAGTTTTTCTAATGTATCACATTGTAAATCTTGACAACCATGTAAAAATTCATTACGTTGTAATTCTCCTTGTTTCGATGCATTCATTTTCCAACATAGTATAAGGATTTCTCTATCACTTGGATCAAATTTTAAATCAGTTATAAAACGTAATAGTTGTTCTAAATTCATTTTTGATGTATCACGTGGATCAGCATAAGTTGTCCATAATTGTTCGATTTTTTTGCGATCAAATCTTGATGTTGATGTTTGACTATGATGTGATGAATGATGTGAACTACCACCAGCTGAAGAATACGAAGATGACTCTTCACAAAAAGCACCTATAGCACGTTCAACGACCCAATCATTTGATTGTAGTGCATTTCGGGCTTGTTGCTCAGAAACACCCATGACTTCTCGTAATTGACGAATTTTTTCATTTTTTTCACGTTCTGATGTTTTATTTCGTCCGGTCATATTGCGCTATACTTAGGATTTATATTTTCTATCTGAAAAATATGAGAAATTCACTTTTAGAAACAAACAAAAAAACATATCATGTTTAAAGTACAATATATAAAAACAATATTAAGCAATATGTAAACGAAGTGATGTTACAGTACAATCACTACTAATCGTAACTATACGATGAATATCTTTATCATATGATAAACCTTCTAAACTTCCAAAATGAATTTTTTTACAAAGAATTGGTAAACTATTTTCTTCATCACGCCATATAACTAAATAACCATTTTGTGTTGTACAAATAATTAATTTTTGCTCTTCATCAACTTGTAAATATGTTAATGTAAACCATCCAAATAAAGATTTTGGTGTATGAAGTACATATAAACAATTGTATAGATTTGATTGAGTATTATATACTCGTACGGTTCGATCATCAGCACATGTATAAATTCGTTCAGATTTCCATTGAACACCTGTAACTGCTGTTGTATGTCCTGTAAGTCTAGCAATTAGTTCTTGTTCTTGGTCAACTTTCCATATACATGTTGTTTGATCTTCTGAAGCCGTTGCACATAATTCTTCATTTGGACTTAAACAAACACTCCATATTTCTGCATTATTTTCGTGTAAACCAATAATTTTTTTTGTTTGTAAATTTATTAATGTTCCATTACCAAGACCAACTAAACAAGATGTTTTATTTGTATTCCATACTGAACATATAATTGTAGTTTTAAAATCTTCGATTATTTCTTGATTATCGATATTATAAAGTGCACCAGATAATGTTCCAACAAGATTTTTTGAGATAAAACATCGAACACTATCAGGAATATGAATATGTTGTTTTGGTTTTGCATCATTAATTGTCCATTGAAATATATTTCCTGATAAATCACCAGATAAAATTTCATTATTTTCTGTATATAAACCACAACCAGCTGTTTCATGTAATGTTCGATGTAATAATGTTGTTAAAGATATCGATGATAATGTTTCATCAACGCTTGTATTCAATATTGTAAACATAACTCTTCCATCTGGTGACGGTGGACGACTAAGACATAATTCAAGACGTACAAGTGTCAAGCCCATATAACCACCTATCCATAATAGATCTTGTTCATCGGAATTCCATTGTAAATGACAAACAGCCGTTGCTGGTGCATCATTACACGAAGCAATGAATGAACCATCTAATGAGTAAACATTTATTATTGATGATATATAACCAATAGTTAATAAATAAGAATTCCACCAGATAATTGCTTGTGGAGTTCCAGTAGCTAGATGAAAAAGAAATAGAATATTCTATATAAGTTTTTATTTTTACCATTTATTATTGAATGAATTTGTAATGGATCTGTATCAATAATAAAAATTAAACCAGCTTGAAGTCCAATAGCAAAATATTCTTTGCCAGTATTTTTATCATGATATGTTTTAACTGTACCACATAGAAATGTTTGATTTGTTCTTGCATGATCTAATTTGAGATCATCAATTAAATGACCATCATGTAAATTAAGTTGATGTATATGAACATGTTCATGTGGTCGTTGAAGCATTGCAAATAAATGACGGCGTATAGCTGTACAGATAACAAATTCATAACCGATTGAACCAGCAACATATGTACTTGATGTTTCAATTTTTTCAGCTATATTTATTGGAGATATAGAATTTTCTATAGCTGGATGAATTTTTTCTAAATCATTTCTTGGTGTAGCCCAATGTCGAAGCCAATTTTCAGTTAATGAATGATGATGAGAATCATATGTCAGTGAAATGAGTGTACCTAATAAAAAGAGAAACAGTAAGATTTATTTTGTATTTCAAAAAAACAAATTTACCATCAAATCTTGAACAAAGATAAATTGTTGACCCATCTTGTGTCCAACAACCATAATGAACATGATCAATTCGTGTTTGTTGTTCAATAAAACGTTTTTGATAATTATTTGACCAAAGAATAATTTTACCCGAATAAGAACACGTTAAAATTTCATTTATATACTCATTATAAAGCATAACAACAATAATATCATCGTAGACATGTTCAAAAAAAATACGTTCATTCGTTGAATAATTATATATTTGAATACAACCATTTAATACAGATTCGTATGTATAAGAATCAGATGTTTCATTTGATTTTATTGATGATGGAAAACTCGTACATAAACGAAACGATCCAATACCATAGATATTTTCAATAGTAAATGATGACATGTAACGTGTATTTCGAAGGAAGAAGAAAGAGTATGTTTTTTATCCCCCAATCGAGTTTATATTTATTTTTTTTATGAGTCAGTGTAACTAACTGTGAGAAGGAAAATAACAACAGAAAGGAATGAAAAAAAAAGGTTGTACTATGATTGTGCAATTTCATTCAAAACACATTCGTGTCTAAAATAATATGACTTATTGAATGTTTTCTAGAAGTCATGCAAGAAAAAAAATAAAATAAAGTAGAAATTTTCAATCTTTCTCTATTGCAGAAAAAGTTCACTGAATCTTTTATATCACGGTCAAGATAATACTTTTATAACAGTTGAAAATAATGGAAACAAAAACAAAAAAACAAGAAATATAAATAAATTAATTTTTGTCTTCTTCAAAAAACACTATTAATTAGAATTACTTAGGAATTTTTTTTGAGAAACCTCGTTGAATAGGTCGCCATTGTTGACATTCAATAAGCATTTGTGCACGAAAAATTTTTGATAACTGTTCAAATTGCATAATATTTGCTTGTTGATCAATCCAAAATTCATGCCATTCATTAAATATAAGTAAAAAAAGTTGAAAAAATTCATCAAGATTACATGGATGTAACGAAAAATGTGTTAATAATGGATGAAAATTAGTTTTCATGGACGGATCAACTTCAAGTAAATTAACAAGCCATGATACAATATTAACAACACCAATAGCAAATGAATAATCATTGGGTGGCGGAATATTAACACATGTTAAACAAGTTTCTTTATCCCGAGATAAATATTCTATAGATTGAAGACCAAGTAAACCCATACCTATGAATTTATTATACATTATCAAGTTTTTACTCGAAAGTGTTATAGAAAAATAATATAATTCAACAAGTAACGCTCTTTCTCGTAGAAATGGTGTTCTATAATCCTATGGGACCTTTTACTTATATAACTTGTAAATACTAACATCAGATTCGAAATACCTCTAAAAATGTCTTTTCTGAAAAATGGTCTTCGATGTTTTTTTGACCCTGCGGACATACAAGCAAGCAAGCAATCAGACAATTTATGTTTACTGGACTCTTCTTTACGAGAAAGAGAATAAACATTTACCTCGAAAATCGGTTAATGGATTTGAGCCCTATGAAGAGGAAAAAAAATAAATATTTTTCAATAAAACTTTTTTTCAGTCATACTTGAAAACCAATTTTTGTCCAACGTTTTGAGATCATATTCATGGGTTCATGATCATCGTTTGATTGAGTAACTAAACGTGACCATATTTTTTCAAATAATTCAAGATGTTTTTCATCAGTTGATGTTACTTTTGTCATTCTTATGTCATTTATTTGTTTAATTAATTTTTGATATAATTCTAATTTATGTATAACAATATTTAATTGATCATGTATTAAAGATTTGTTTTTATCTAGTTTTACTTGTTCATTTTCATAATCAAGATTTTTTGTTGTTGTATAATTAATTGATTTTTCAATTTGATGAACACGTGATGCAAATGGTAATGTACGATTTGCAATAATTCGTTCTAATTCAGATTTACCGGTTAAAAAATACATAAAAATACGTTGAAATGGTAAAAATAATTGTGCGACTAAATGAAATCCATATGGCCAAGACATATCTAAAGTTAAGAAAGAAATTTACTTAAATCTAAGTTTTATTTGTTGAAGAATCAGGACAGGGTACAGTTTGTGCTTATTTTTTTTTTTGTAAGGAGAGAAAAAAAACGAAAGGTACAACCAATAAATCATAAACTAGATGGAAAAAAAGAAAGAAAATTTAGTTCATTGGTTGATGGTTTGTGTTGTGTTTACATATCATCAACGGATTTCAAAGCTAATTCAGGTTTATCGTAGCCAAGATCTTCTGGTGTTGCTACACCTATTTTATCCAATGTTGGACGAATTTCTTGAAGAATCCATGGCCATACTTGTTTTGAAATTGCGTTTGATTTATAACGAATTGTTTCCAAATAACGAACAGCTAATGAATGATCGTTAACACGACGACATGCTTGAAGACAAGCAGATATGATTTCTGGTTCAGGAATTAAATCAAGACGATTCATATGATTTATACCTTGACGAATATCCCAACCTAAAAAAAAATACGATTATAATCAAAATTATTATATTTTTTGTATATATTAGCATACCATCAATACTTGGTCGTTCAAAATAAGCTTTCCATCGTTCATCGAATTCTTCATCAGTTTCTTTATTATGTGATGACATATTACGACGTGTAGTAGATGTCATAGCCATCCACATGGGTCGTGTTGTTTTTGTTAATGATTGAATAAGTGACGAGCGAAATAAAAGTGCCATCTAAAAGACAACAAAATACAATACTATGTTTCATTTTTCAATTCAAATTTGACTTCAAGATTACTATCTTAGTATCCAATGAAAGACTTAGATACACACAAAAAAAAGAAAATAATATAATATAGGATATACAAAAAAAAAACGCACACACACACAAAGATATGTTCAAAATTATAACAAAAAAAAAACAAAACTCTATCTGAACAATTTTTACATTACTACATATCTAATTTTTCCATTTGTTTATTAATACTCTGAATAGCTTTCATTAATGCTTGTTTACGTTGATGTAAAACAACGCGTTGATTATTAGATATTTGTTTTAAAGGTTGTGTTGGATTATTTGTTGTTGTTGTTGTAGTAGTTGAACTAAAATAAGTTGTTTGATCATCATCTGTAGCAGGATTAATTGGAAAGATTTGTTGTTGTTGCTGTTGTTTAATAGCCGATAATGAAGAAGTTGTAGATTCAGCACTGGATAATAAACGATGAAAATTTTGTTGTTGTAATTTAATGATCGTTGGATGATGAATAAGTTCATCCGATACAGGTTGATTTTGTTGATCCGATTGTTGTTGAGATTGATATGGATATTTTGCTGATGATGAACGACTAGATGATTGAATAAATGCAGGTCTTGATTGCGATTGTGGTTTCCGTTGATCAGGTGGACGATAACATGAAGCAATTGAATCACTTGTACCAGTTGTAGAATGTTGACTTGAAATTATTTGAGATGTTGTTGAAGGTCTAAAAGAATTACATTATTTTAAACTCATTGCATGAAAACTATACCATTTCAAATTGCTTCAGGCACTCATTCAAGTGGTTTCATATATCAAAAGGAAAAAGAAAATAAATATTTTACCTAACTACTGACGATTGTTGTAAATGATTTGAAAGACGATTCATTGAAGCAACTGATGACGCATCGGAATTCATCATAAATGAACTTTGTGATCGTTTACTACTCATCATTATTGATGCTGGTCTTTCTGGTACATATAATTGATTTAAATAAGCCGATATAAGTTTTGCAGATGCATAACAACGTGCAATTGAACAATGACTAATACCTATTTTTGAATGATAATTACAACGTTCTTCAATCATAAATGAATAAGCAGCATTTTCAAATGTTTTATGTATATCATCACGTGATACACGCTGTTTTTTTAATTCAACTAAAAGCATTATTAATGATTCAATACTTGCAAAACTAACGAGACGTGTATCTTTATTTGGTTTAACTCCTATAGCAAAAAAAAGAATAAACATAAAATTAAAATTGATTTTTATTTAACCTTCAGCTTTTTCTTGTAACCAATCTATTAATCTACTTGTTTGTTCATATTCGACAGCTGGAAAAAATACACATGGTTGAGTTAAACGATGATATCGACGACGAGTACGATCATCATCAAGCACATTATTTGTTTTATTAATAGCAGTTGGTATCAAAATCGATTTTAATTGTTGAAAAATCAATTTATAATTATCTGTTGCTTCAGCAAAATCTTTTAATGGTATTTCATGTGATGATTTTAAATGTTCTAAACATGCTGACATATAACCTGGTGGAATTTTATCCGGTTTGATAAATGTTTGTCGAAATATAGTTGCTCCTTCAGCTAATGTATACTACATAAAAATTAAAATAATAAAACAGGATGATAATGAAAGAATTCTTACACGAAGAATACACATTTCAGCTGGTACATATTGTCCTCCATCTTCTTCATCAATTTTACAAAATATTTGAAAATTTATTATATAGATTGGCATTGTTAATAATTCATTTATATCTAATGGTAAATATTCAAATGCTAAATAATCTCTTTCTAAACTAAAACGATCATAATGAATTTTTAATTCTTCACATGGTATATCACGTTCACTAAGAATTTTTTCATTTTGTTTTTCTTGTTTAGAAGATTTTTTTGTTTGTAAATAACGTTGTGTAGAATTCGTAGCTGATTCAGGATCTAAACGATATTGTATACGCCATTCTTCATATAAAACTTTATATGGATGTTTTTCGTCATCAGATAATAATTTCCATTCATCATAACATGCTGCTATAGCATCATTGATACTCATTCGATTACCATTATTACGTTGATAACGACGTTGATATTCAAGAGCATAAAAATAAAATGCTGATCGACTCGGTTTAGGCATTAAAAAAAACTATAATCTAAAAGAAATACATAAAAATGTACTTTTCAAGGAC